TTTTTTTTGCACGCTTGGGTACCCCGGGCGTCATTTTTTTTTTTTTTTTGCACGCTTGGGTACCCCGGGCGTCACGCCCGGGTGCCCGGCCGGGCGTGACAATCTTCCTACCTCCATAGTTAAAAAAAAAAAAAAACGGAACCATACAGTAGGTCTGCAAAACGAAATACCCCATAAATAAATAAAAAAAAAGGCAAAAAAAGGAGAAATGGTAGCAAGACAATTAGGAAAACATTTTGCAAAAAAGGATGCCGGGAATCCAGTTTTCAATCCAGAGAAAAAAACAAAAATGGAAAAGGGAACATGTGATGACTGAGCACTGGGTACAAACTTCACACGAATTGAGATCCACCAACATTACGGTATGGTGGCCGTGCCATCACCTATTAGTTAGGTATCTGCCTAGCAAGCTGTGTAGGTCATGTGTTCGATTCTTGGATTGCGCATACACATGTGCAAGGTTGTGGCCTAACCATGGGCCGGGAAAAAAAAAACAGGATTCCTCATGTGACGTCCACTCAACCACCACCATGAGAGAAAGTACTTTCGCCTTTTGTGATAAGCATGTTCGGTGAAATTTCAGTGAACTCGTGTGTGACTTGTACTGGATATATACTTGCTTTCTGTAAGGTATTGTGTTCCTGTCCTTCCTTTCACACTATCTTACTCCTGTCTTTCCTTTCACACTATCTTTCTACCACCATGAGAGAACGTGAGGTAACGAAGGGCCCCCCACAGGGGACATGGAGGAGACGGCAGGGATGGAAAACAGAGCACCACAGGTGCTTTGCATGCGATAAACATGCCCGCTCTCAAAATGCATGCGCATCAAAGGTGTGTTTGTTTGAGCGCATAGCTGACCTCCAGTTCACCCAGTGAGTCAGTGACAACACCACTACCTCCCAACATAACAGTGTCTGACCGAATACAACGTTCCGTAATTACTGCTCTATCTAGACTGAAAGCTGTCCCAAATACAATACAGCTACAATGACCGTATGTTGTTTTCGGATGAACACAGTAGGGTAATCAGTACTAATCACTAATCCGCTGCGTAGCCCCCTTCTTATTCAGCTCCTTCCCCTTGGACCGCCAGTACGCTTGCCAGCCACTTTTTTCTGACGCGAAGCGGGGATGCAGCCGCAAGTTTCAAGCACCAAAACGAGGGCCGGCGCCGGTTCATCTTTCGTTTTGGTGTGCACTGTGCAGTGTGCAGGGCATTTCCAGCCTCTTGAAAAGAGGCTCGGAAGGACTGGCGGTTTAAAGAGTTTAAACCACCAGCACCAGTACACCCGGGCCTGGAGGCGGCTTACTGTGCATCAAGCTTTTGCGAATCGCCAGTTGTGTACTTCTTTAAAGTTCAAAGTTCTTTTTCATTTTTCCGAAGAACTTCCGAATCCTTAAAGTTCTTTAAAGATGGATTCGGAAACCTTTTCCAAATCGTCAAGCTTACCTCTTCATTTTCGTTTGCAAGCATACTTGCAATCGGACGCCGTCCGGGCGGTTCCGCACGTGCGGCAGACCGCCGGACCGGACCCGTGCGGCGCACGAATGTGCGCCCGACGACCAGTTACGCCGCCCCCCCCCCCCCCCCCCCCCCAAAAAAAAAAAAAAAAGGCCCCCATCCGGTCCAGTCCGGGTCCATCCGGTCCGGGGGGAGGGTGCCGCACACGGCAAAGCGGACCGGACCGGACGAGGTCTGCTTGCAAGTATGTTTGCAAGTAGTCACTTTAGTTATTATTCGACCCGAGATAGGATTCGACCTCATGACCTGTCATCAACAGTTACAGTTGTGTGGTGCAGTTCGGCCACGCCACTCCCAGGTCTGCAACTCTCGATATTTGCCAAATGTTCTTTTGTTGGGAAGATTGCATCTTTACCACAATTGAAGATGGAAATACGCGCTATACCCAGTCCCAGCACCCAAGGACCCTTCACCCAACTTTCCCACTGTATGAAATTGCAGGCATATCGAGTCCCGCAAGCTACCCGTTGTAGAGGATTTTACGAAATTATGCAGCGCCCTGAAACCGGCTGGCGCTACCAGCCATTGTCGCCCAGGAGGTCGAGCCATCGCTACAGTATGGTGGGCGCCGAGTGGCTCGTTCTGCACGGTTGGGTCCATGTACGGGCGGTGGTCTAAGCCCCCAGTACCAGCGCCCTCTTCCAAAACCCATGGCGGTATACAAAGGAGCTGGGCTTTCGATGTACCACCTGGCAGGGTAGGGTTCGATTTGTTTGCATGCGCAAAAAGATTAGGTTTAGGTTTGGCAATTAGCGTCCAAATCGAATGAAGGGTCATCAGTACTCATTACAGCTGCCGTACAGGCTCTTTAACCGGCCAAATCGAACGAAGGGTCATTAGTACTCATTACAGCTGCATCCTGTGCGATTTCCGGGCACAGGGCTAGGTGCCACTGGTGTTATGTTTGTGCCATGCTAGCACGAATCTGACCAGTTTTATGACCAGGTTCCTATTTCTTAGTTCACAGTTACTATGAACCTGGCACCAGTGCGGCCTGCCCCTCAGACTAGGTACAGCTGTAACAATACTGTCTTCTCTGCCAGGTAATTGAGTACACTCATTCATTGGGCCAATCTCCGCCAAAAGATCATCAAGTTTCTGTCCATGGAGGAAGCACCGCATATATCTATTGTAGCATAGTCCTTCCACAATTTAGCTATATCGACGGTAGCATAGTCCTTGCGCAATGTAGCTATACCTATTGTAGCATAGTCCTTCGACAATTTAGCTCTCTCTTTTTTTTTGGTTTTTTTTTTTTTTAGCTATCTCTATTTTAGCATAGTCGTTCCACGATTTAGATAGCGTAGTTCTTTCACGATTTAGCTAGACACATGGACGATGACTCGTCAATGAGCACTCCCCAGTAGGGCCCCCAATGCACTGTGTCAGGCTTCCAGCCCGGCAAGTCAGTTCTCATGCCAAAGCTCAGACCTGCGGTTTCAAAGCAGCTATATAGTGCCACCCCCCCCCATTTTTGTTCCCAACAACGTCCCAACTGCAAAACATACGAATGGCTTCGAACAAAGCTCAGGTTGGGGGTCTTCAGCAAATTTACCAGGCAAGCCTCAAATGCCTTCATGAATACGTTTTGTAGAAACACTGCTTCTTTCCTCCTGCAGACGAAACAACAAAACGCAGTTCAATCAGCGAAACTCGCCGTCAATATCATCAATCAACCAACGCCATCACTTCTTCGGCATACATGGAGTCCAAGCTTCTTCGTTGATGTCATCGCCATTTGCTTCAACCAAGTACACCTATAAAGCAACCACCGAGTGAATCATCAATTCAAGTGATGTGGCGATCGCCAAAGAACCTTCTCTGATTTATTACACACCAGAGCACAACACGCCACCTTCCTAAACATCCTGCATGCACACTTTAACGGTTTAACCTCCCTCAACCTCTAAAGCATCCGTACATCGACGGTCGAGATCGCTTCGTACCTCTAAAGCATCCGTACATCGACGGTCAAAATCGATTCGTACCTCTAAAGGATCCATACATCGATGGACGACATGCCACAGAAGAGGGGATCTGTTGCTAGGTGGCGTCATTGCCCACCTGTCCATTGTAGCGAACAAAATTACTTGACGAAGTCAACCAGCATGTGCAACAATGAAGACATACTAAAATGTGCGCACACTGCACAGGGGATTAGACTTCTTTTTTTTTTCCTTCTTTTCTAAAAATAAAAAGGAGCCTCACGGCTCCGGCTCCATATCCATTCTGGGGAGCGTCAGCCCGCTTCCTATTCCACCGGCAAGTCAATCGAAATACAGCGTACATCACACTCCACGCGTCTCCCCTTTCTGGAGGAGAGACCCGAGCAGGCGGCATTGAGAATTTCTTTTTGTCTTTCTTTCTTTTTGTCACTTTTTAAAAGTTTTTTTGTATGCATGTGCAAAATGGGGTGGGGCGGGAGGGGAGGGAGGACGGGGAGGGACAGGACGGATTGTACAAAGGCGGTTCCATTTACCTCTCATCCTCAGGCTTCTTTCTGAGGACAGCACTGCTAAGTGCATTCAAGCGCTCCCTGTTGATTTGAGCCTGTGTCCCATGCACAGACCATAGACAAAGCCAAAGCATCAATACAAATCTGTAAGTGCATTATCATCAAGAGATCGCGGAAACACAAAAAAAAAAAAAAAAAAAAAAAAATCACGGAAAGAGACGCCTTTTCCACCCAAGAAAAGTCCAAGGTTCCTCAATTTGGTCATTGCATGGGAAGCGGCCATGCATATATCCACACAATACGCACTTTTTCACACAAAAACGGACGACAAATTAGTCGCCAGCTGCCCCATTCCCTTCCCTCGCATGCATGACAAGAGGGGGTCAAGAAATGTCGCCCTCCTGTGGCCCCTAGCCAGGAGACCTTTATGCGACACTAGACGCACGCCTGCGCAAGTGCCCTCGCTGCTCTCAGACCCCATTATCTGTGATTTTAAAGCCACAGCCCATGCCGATCTCACCCACGGCATGGGCTTTCCGATCCACACACACACAAATGCATCACGATTTTCCCAACCAAAAAAAAATTAAAAAATTATAAAAAATGCATTATGAAACCGGGCAGCGAGACGGACACATGCCACAGCCGGAGCATTATTCTGGCTGATCGGACCACGTCCTCTGGAGGGTTAAGGTCTGGTCCTCGGGCCCGAAGCACCCTGGGTTCCAAATCACTGTGTTCCAGTAAGACAGCCTGGGGATATTTCACCCACAGTCTGCACTGTCTGACTCTGACACACCACAAAGGTCTCATGCTCCAGCAACCAGCAACCACTACACAAAGTAATCCACCCATCGAAGCAAATCCATCATGCGCAAAGTTCACTCCTGCTCCAACCCCAACACCCCCCCCACACCCCCCCCAAAAAAAACACAGCAAGCAATAAATCGCAAAAAAAAGCTGCCTTGACTGGTGCCCCTCTTAAACCACCACTACCTTTCAGAGGCGAAGTCGCATTCTTCGGAGGCCGGGCGCCACCGGACCAAAATGGCTGGCCGCGCCAGCCAAAACAACACAAAAAAAGGTCGCGCTGGTGCTTTGGCAGCGCTTGGTGCCCAGTTCTACCCCGCCTCAGCAAAAAGAGGCCCGGAGGTAGTGGTGTTTTATAATTTCACAAATGCATTGTTTTATTTTTCTCTGTTTTTCCTTTTTCTTTTTTCTTTTTCTTTTTTCAACTTTTTTTATTTTTTTTTCTTTCTTCTTTTCTTTTCTTTTCGTTTCTTTTCTTTTTGTGTCATCCTTCTGCAGGGGCCATGCTAATCTTCATTCTCTGTATCTGTATTGGTACTATTGTTCCAATTTTAACAATGTCCCAAGGGACATCCCCCCCCCCCAACTACCCTAATGTTCAACCTCCAATGCTTTTCTTCGAATTTCCTCTTTAAGCACTGAACGGGGAAGTACTCCATCCAAGCAAAATTCGCAAATCCATCATGTGCGAAGTTCGCTTCTACCCCTTCCCCCACCCCCTTTCCCGGTCTGTCGCTGAAATCGAGCCCCATGCGCCGGCCGCCACTTTTCACTGCCCAGTGCTAGGCCCAACTGGGTGGCATCATCCTGGCTGCATAGATATGAAACGATGGCCAGGATCATCTTAACCACATTTACAATCAGTGTGACATTTGGGAGGCCTACACGTTCTCCTGATGAAAACAAAACCCCAAAAGCAAAACCCAAAAAGACATAAACTCACTACAAGGTCAACTGTTGCTTCACCTGAGGGCATCACCCATGAAAAAATAAATAAATAAAATTGTCCCCTGATCATGGTTGCATCCCTGGCGACCGCCGACCCCGACCGCCGACCGTATTGCAACCGACCGGTAGGGCCGACCAGCCGGCGGTCTGCCGACCCGTCAGAAAACAACCATCCACTAATTTTTTTTCAGATCTGAGTTGGAAGCTGTACTGCGCTTGCTGAGTACAGCCCAAA